TTTTCTAATCTATCTTATCTACTTAAAGCGCGTTGGAGCAAACATTTCTTCTTACTTGAGCACCTTGCTTCTTCCTAGCTCGTTACTTTCAAAATACTTACATATTCTCATCGCTATTCCAAGCACTGCAACTACCACTGATTAATTGCAGCAATATTCACGTCAATTCTATGCATCGATAAGGAGCATCCGCTATAAAAGCCTCTAACCAGTAGCAATTATCTTTCGCATTCTTGCTGACAGCATTGCCAACCGATGATAAAGTCGTCCGTATTAAGCCGAGCTGTCGCAGACATATTTATGCATGCATGTATGTGTGTATTTACATGTATGCGAATGAGAGTCTTTCAACACCGGCAGCTAGCTACATAACTATTAATAATTATGGAAGACACTTTAGTGCGCACATTGGAGCTGTCGCTGATGTTGTTGCTGCTGTGGACTTCGTGGAAATAACAGTAGCAGAGACGATGATGAGTATAATAACACTCAAATAGTTATCTGGTCCAAATCTAATGTGTTAGAAAGTATAAATTTGCTAAATGATGTCTGAGCTAGAAGACACCCGTTGAAGGAGGCGGGATACCGACACATCCGACATACCCGCAGCAACTGCAGTTCGCATAGTTGTGTAGCAAAGCCAGCTGTGACCACTTTAAGCCACCATAATTGCCATCGCTTTATGACTGACCACATAAATGCAAATTTTAGGTAGAGAAGAGGCAAAGGAGGGCAAGAGCATATACGTTGTTCTTATGTATGTATGTATGCATGTATGTAAGCATTGTATATATTGAATCAAACATTTCACACTTTAGACAGTTAGTTTGGCAACAACTTAAACCACTTTGTATGCTTTTTTGAACTAATAAAAATATTCAACATTTCCAGCAATAATTACTGATAACTTAAGTGAATAAAGCAATTTGGATTATTAGCATTATTCATACACACTGTATTTAGGCGTATTGTATACATATTTGCATGGCATGAGCTTTCACGTACATATACATACATTGCCACTAGCGTTCGGTCAACACGTCTTCTCCGTATACATCACATAATTTTCGCCTTGCTTGAACAACATTGTGACCATTTTTTACAAATGACCTTTCTATATCAGCTGTTCAAAAAGCTTTTCAATGAGCAAAAAATAGTAAGAATTTGTACATTATTTCAAATTCTTCATTAATTCTTCAAAATCTATATCGTCCACCTCAAGGCAATCCTCTTAATTCAAATACACTTGCGTCAACGTCTTCTTCTTATCATCGAAACAGTTTTAAAAGACAATTTCCGGAAAAGCCTCCAATGCGCTTAGCGATTTACTTTTAATATCTTTAATTGACTGAAACGGTTTCCTCGGATCGGTCCTATGAATTTGCTAAATAGCCAGAAATCACACGGAGTTAAATACGGACATTGAGGCACGATATTGGTTAAAACTTTGTCGATAAACTTACGAGGAATAAATACAGCATGCGACGGTGGTGCAAAGACCAAAAGTTATCAGCCACAATTCCGGCCTGTTTGTATGAATCCTTAATAATCGCCTTGATTTTTGACCTGATTTGAATGGTTTTTTTTTGTCTTCGGGACACCTTTGTCAGGATATTCGGCCGATTAATCGTCGGTTTACGGGTCGTGGACATAGATAAAAGACACATCGCCGAAAAGCAATCGTGCTTTCCCGTTACTTAGCCCCAAACGGTCTTTCAAAATAATTTTCCTTCTTATATTCCAACGATGCCAGTGACATCTTTGACTGTTAATCGTCGATTCTCAAGCACCAATTTCTTTACTTTATTGAAAAAAATTCTTCGATAGATGAGTTTTAGCGCTTGAAGTTGGATGCGAAAAAGTTGTCATAAAACGAGACTATTTAGTGAACAACCCAGTATATTTGCACTCATTTGTATAAATAGGAAACACAGAAAACTAGATATTTCTATTTCATGTATTTATTAGTTTATAAAGATTCTACAAAACAGTACACTAAAAAATTCCCTTTGTGCTGAAAGCTAAAAAGTATATTCTAACTAAAAAGAAAATATATACATGTACCATATATATAACATATGTATATACTATATATTATATATTCGTGGAGCAGCATCACGTTCGATGGTGTTATTTTTATACACAATTGAAAACTACAAACGGAAGCGGCACTTAATGTCGGCAATAAAAATTACTTAACTTAAAAAACGTAACATTCTACACAGAATTACAGAATTACTATCTATTGTCATAAACAATGGAGTGCGCTCGCTACACAGCGGCGGCGCTCAGCTAAAGTTGATGCCAATTTGTTTAGCCTAAGTGCTTGCTAAGCATTCAACACCCCATAAAAGCAGCGAAGAGCAAACACCAGATTATTTATGTAAAAAGTCAAGTATAAACACAGGCAAGGTAAGTATTTTTATAGTTTCTGAAAGCCGAGCGCACTCCAAGGAATCAATTAATTAATGCACTTTTGCCGCTGGTTGCCCTTATGAACTTCATAAAAAGCAAACATTTACAGTGTGTCGAAGAAGCCAAACACAAGTTCATGAAAAGCAAATTCGGAAATAGTCTCGAAAGTATGAGCCGCTGAATATTTTCTGATAAGCATTCAAATTGCTGATAAAAAATTAAAGAATGAAATAATTTACCCACAATTTAATTGTAAAGTGCAGGCAGGCGAAGAGCTACGAGTAACAACTTCTTCATTGAAGTGATGTGAATGAGCTCACAGTTCTACTCCCTAGCTAGGTGCGTTGGATAAATTGCATTCAAGCATGTGAAATGAAGGATCTTAAATATGCTTATATGGAATAATTGAAAACCCATTGCTCTATATGTTCTTACATATTACATTACATATATACATATTTATATTACAAATACCATCACCATAAATAAAGAAAATCATATTTTCAAAAAGAAAAGCTAAATATACCTCGTCGGTTTCAATTTGTTTATCTGAAAGGCCAGACCATCGTACCTCAAAGCTATTAAACGTACGAATAGATATGAACTAGAGATACAAAATTAAATTGATACTTACTTCGATCAGAAAATGTAGTATATTTATGAATAATAAAAAATCCAAAATTAGATAAGTTACTTGCTAATACTTGTCAAAGAGAATTAAAATTTTTTAATTTTTTTTTATACTGTCGAAATAAACATACAAGCAAGAARTAATAATCGCCCACAGAATAAATAGCTAACATACGCACCAGGCCCATAAATACGTGCATATGTATGTATATACCATTGCATGGTCAGTTCACCATGTTATACTTATATCCATATAGATAGAGTATAACATATTCGGTTGCAAACGAACTTATTAATCATCATCATCTTGTTTAATCATCATAGYTTGGTGATGAGACAGGATAAGACTGATACCACTTTTCTCTGATTAATATCTGAACAAAAAAAATTAAAACAATGATTGTAACAACAAAGAGAAACAATTCCCTTTTTCAGTCAAAAATAGTCATCAGACAAATATTTTGCCTATAACCACTTACCATACTGAATATTTGTTAAAAAGTGAGTAGCAACATTAACCGGAGGTTTGAAATGAACTACATAACAGATAACAATACAATAACAATGCCCCTCAATGTTGCTATTATACAAAAGAAGTACACATTTGACGTAATAAACTTCCATGAAAAACAAGAAAAAACGTTAACTTAGGTTGCACCGAAGATAAATACATTTCTGTTAATAACTATGTATTCAGTTTGTTTGGAAGCTATATGCTTTAGTAATCCGTTCTGAACAAATTTTTTGGAGATAACATTGTTCTCTTAGAAAATAATATTTACCAAACTTCGTGAATATATCTTGTCAAATTTGAAAGTTTTCCATACAAGCATATGATTCCGATCGTTCAGCAAATTTCAAAACGATATCTTGAAAACTGAGTGACTAGTTAGTATATATACAGACAGACAGACGGACATGGCTAAATCGACTCAGCTCGACATACTGATCATTTATATATACATATACTTTGTAGGGTCTCCGACGCTTCCTTCTGAGTGTTAAAAACTTAATTTATCCTATTCAGGGTATAATAAAAGAGTATTTTTGAAACATTATGCACGTACATAAGTATACATATATGTATATAAGTGCTTTCAACACATACATTTAATATATTTAGAGTTTGAATAACATTTTTGGCAATAACATCGAACTCTCCCAAAACTAACATTCCGGTGATGACATTAACATTTACGATATTACAAACACTATCTTCGAAAAACGAAAGAGCACAAATTCTATATTATTCGCAATTCTCATATTTGTTATTTTTTAAAAAGTACAATTGATTCCTCTAATGTTATTTATAAATCAAATTTCCTCCATTCATATGTACTAAAAAGCAGTATTAATAAAATAGCGTAATTAGTGAAAAACATTTTCGAAAGTGATGCCGTTAGCAGTATGTTACAAGTAGGAAATGAGTTTGTACGGTTTGCGTGCTCTCTGCAACCAATTTTGATACAAGCAGAGAGCTATACAGATTTCGAAGAGATGTTGAGCGCTGTTCTTCGCCGAGCGCCGTTGTGCTCCACTGCGGCATGCGTGCGCTCCAATACTTCATGGGCCACGCTCTCAATGCCGCAACCCATCGAATCTTCGTTTCTGCTGCACACAAGAAGAAATAAACAAGCATAGGTGGTAGGCGTTTTGAAAAGAGGCAAAGCAGAGTATCGTGCGTATTAGATATTATTGGTATACATTCAACGATTAACATGTGGTCGCCGCAACACTGCTTTGTCGGTTCTCCGCAGCTCCAACGAATACACGGCAATTGAGCGTACAGCGATGTTACTTCGTTGGCTCGTTGCTGACCGGTTCGCTATGTTGCACGTTGGTGGATCGGCTTGCATGCCTGCTAGAGTCGACTGGTTGGTTGATTGTTGGCGTTGGCTCCCAAAACGAAGGCAGCGAGCGATGTGAATTCGGTCATTTAGTAGAATCGCGAGCTCAATACGGTGCACACGCTTTGAACGGATGAATGGCGGAGTACACGTGCATATTTTGACGACTAAAAACAGTGAATGTGAAACAGTGACGAGGCTTTTGTTTTGGTGAATTGCTTGATGTGCCATGCAAGCTAACCGTAAATCGCTCGCATTAATTCACAATTGAAGTGAGAAACAAAATCAAACCTAAAATGCCAAGCTGCTCTAACGGTGAAAGTGTATTGTGTTTCTATTATTGGCAAGGCATATCAAAAGCACCGACGACTGCCCTGCTTCACGGGATGCGGCGTTCGTAATATGCAGTGCTTGTGGTTAACTTTACATATAACGGCTTTCGCAGAAGCTGTGCTTGTGTTGTGCTGAATGAATGCGTGCATATAAGTTACCCGATATTCTGCGAATATAGCGAATGAAATCAAAAACAACAAATGCAAAAACATCAAGTATCCACGACATTGATTCGGCAAATAATTTAACAGGTGCGAAACACGCTTCGACAAATTACGAAAAATAATATATATAGTATATACTTCAATACATGTGTATGTGTGTGTGCGATAATACTAAGAATAATATGCTTTGAATGTGTGCTTGCATTTGATCTGTAAGTGTATGCGATTTCCGTTTCCTCTGTGGCAAAGTGTTGCGAATAATGAGGAAGGCGCTGAGACATGAGTGCTTTGGCAGTAGAGTGAAGTGACGTTAAGTAAGGCCAGATATACCGCTAGTTTGGCTGATAAGATAACAGTATATGCATTGGGGCATGCGACAACGAGCAACTTTTCTTAAAGCCACAAGGAGAATGCTACACAAATCCAAGAAAGTCAAAAAGTTTTGTTTGTGGTGATTTAACATGATTATTTGAGTGCTTGCAGAAGCACTTAAAACATTTTGCAATATCTTAGTGCAGAATAAATTTTATGGAAGGCGGAAAGGATTTGCTTAGCACCAATAATATAATGACACTTGTAACTGAATTACGAAAGAACGAAATATACAAAAATGTGTTGAACAAGGTGATTTCACTATTGCTTCATTTGGAAGGCAAAGAATTGTTAAAAAAAAAAAATAATAGTAACGGAAAATTGTGTTGAGCAATCTCTTGGCGATTTTCAAATTAATATGGACTATCAACTATTATTAAAACGATAATAAATTATTATAGCCTACTTCAAAATTTCTGGGTCAATGACTAAAAATCGCATCTGTAGTTTTCAAAGCACTTACCATCTCAATTCGTGCAAAAGCCGCATTTGAAATGATTTTCTCTCATTTGAAGACAGGCAAAACAAAATAAATAATGTTTAAGTAAAGAAATTTATTCAAACATTTAAGCAAATCTAATAGAATGAAATTGCTAATTATTCGTAGGCAAGTAAATTGGCAGATTTATGAGAATCGCCAAAAATGAAATAAAGCCACAAAATAAACTTATTACACACAGACAAAGCGACGTGAACTGTAATCAAATAAAAGTCACATCAGCGAAGCTTTAAACAATAAACAATTCTTGCAAAGAAATTCCAAGAAAATAACAACTCAGTGGCGGGCTAACAAGATCTGCAGAGCCATATTGTCAGACCGAACGGCCAGTATATTTTTTGTTTCGGCAGAAAATCGTTTATTCTCGTTTGTTTTTGTGCACTAAGTTGGTGGTAATTGGAATTTACGGCGTAAAAAATGCAAACGCACGATGGAAATGGAAGAAGCAGAAACAACAATAGCTTAAACGAGGGCCAAGGCCAAAAGCTTTACGCGAAGTTGTTAGGCGATGCTTCACGGCTTCTTTCAGCGAAAGTTGTTTATTTGCATGCCTTTGTGTGTGAATGTGTGCGCCGTGCGCCGAGCGGTATACGCCTGCGAAGTGCTCTACCCAAAGCCCTGGCAATATTTATCTATTTTTACGGCGCGCTTAAGCACCAGGAGCATGCTACGCTGACTGCAAAGTCTGTCACCGCCGACAGCGTGGTTGTCTGCCACGTGGCTTATTAAAGCAATTGGCATCGCGGAGCTGGGACGGCCGTTCACCCCCATTTTACTAACCACAATTTACTCACTCGCATCACAATTGCCGTTGATGAGGCCTCTGAGCTACACAATTTGTTCAGATCGACTGGATATTACCGCGCTTCTTGAGTGTTATCGCACTTTGGCATAGTTATTTGCGAAATAAATTGTTTCAACTAAATTCCGCTAGTACTCTACAACGTTTTCCATAGCTTGCCTGTGGTGGTTGACATCATATCGTATGCATACACAATGTATAATTTCCCGTGTGTGGCCTCAGCAGCGTCGCGCTCGGTCTCACCAACGACCAATTCACTTTTATCGCTTCATTGAGTGTTTATAAAATCTGCACACACATCCCCAGTTGCGGGCGTCAAAAGTCTTTACATCTGCACTGAAGATAATTCGCCATGCTGTGAGTTATTTATGCAATTTTCTTCATCCTTAATGCCGAGCAGCTAAGCAAATAAACATGTGCAAGCTTGCCTTCTTACCACACACCCATCCATTCAGCCACCCACAGGCCCACGGACCGAACACGCCCTTCGCTGGTATTTGCCATACGCTTCGTTTCGCTTCCGTTTGTCCCCGAATGCATTTACTGCAGCTTGCCGTCTATTTTTAAAGTGGCCCATAAAGCAGGAGCCAACTAAAGCAGCTTTCCATGCTCAACAACTTTAACAAAAATAGCGTAAATGTTTCTGAAAGTTCTGCGAAATTTGTATGACGTGCAAATTTTTAAGCAGTTTTCCGCTCGCTTGTTTAACTTATTCGCTGCTGGAGTTTGCTTTGTTTGTTGCCTTTCATTTTGTTAGCATTACTCGCTGCGCGCTTTGGACGCTACTTTCGCCATATTAATTTTAAAAATATTCAGGGAAATTTTTGAAACTATTTACTAAGAAAAAAAGGTTTTCGCATGACTATATTTGTGTTCATGCGTAAACCCATGCCAAAATTTATATATATTTTACGTTTATTTTATAATAAATTGGTATTTTTTCCATCATAAATATAGAAAATCACTGAATTTTTAAAATAGTGACTTAAGTCTTTTTAGCTCTCTAAAATTTCACAAACTCTTGTTGGCAATGGCTTGCAGAAGTCAGAAAAGAATTTAACTAAATTTCATTTTTTGGCTTTTGACATATTTCGGTCTGGACTTTTCTAACCTATTTCCACTTTTTGTTTTTATAGAACATTTAATTATTATTCTTTAACTTAACTAAGCTTTTCTGTAAAAAAAATATGAGAGGTAATTAGAACGGATATAATTTGACACAGTAAAAATTTTAAATTATCAAAATTAAAAAATTTTTAAGGAATTTAGAAATCTTTAGTTCACTCTGAAAATATTTGTTATTTTACATATAATTTTGGTTGTTTTGAATTCACTGAGTAAAAGCCTTCAGTTTGCCAACTGCTTAGCACCACATTAGTAGAGGCTTAACGGGTTTAGTGGCGTCAGCTAATAAAATCGGCAAAAATAAATGCCATAAAAATGTAGTGTAATAAAATCAACGTGAACTGGAATGAACGACGCACGCACACATAGGCAGACCGGGAGGCAGGCAGGCAGGCAGGCAGGCATGCAAGCCTAAAAGAGTAAACATATGTGCATATGTAAGAATATTAAAGAATCTTGACTTGACACACCGACTCAGCTGCCAATTAATTTATCAGCCTTACTGCGGCCAATTTCTCTGCTCTAAACACACAACCACAACAGACAACAATTTTCGAAATTTCCCAACATTCCTTCGCTGCTGCCACTCACTCATTCAGTTTTTGCTCTTTTTTTTTTGCTTCTGCCGGCTATTGAACAGCTAATCGAATGCTAACGTCGCGCTCAAAGCTTACATTCCGGCTGAAATTAATGCAAATTGCCATTTAGAATTTAGTAAGCTCATCGCAAATAACGAAAGCAACAAAAAACGCTGCGGTCACACTAATCAAGCCATTACAGGTGACTAAAAAGTGGTACTGGAAGGGCAGGTTTCTTCAGCAAACTTGATCTTACTCTGATTTGTATAAGCGTTTTACTGCAGGATATTCGGTAATAATAGCTGCTTTATATCATTCTATGACGCTTCATCAGCTGACAAGTGCTTTGAAGGTGAGTATCTTACAGTGCTTAATTTATAATTATACTAAACAGATTAAAAAGAAAAAAAATGCTCAACACATTGAGATTGTTTTCCAAAACCCCACTAAACAATTTTGCCATATAGATACATCAATGTTTGAGAAAAAAATATGCTAATAGAATTTCGTAATAGTTTTGGCTTTAATTTGATGTTTTCGCTTAATGGCAGTTAATGGGATTTGGCGTCTCTAACTCCGCAAGCGAAACAGAAAGAAACAAAGTAAGAAATCCATTCCGACACGCACAATTGCGTGCCGCCTGCAGTATTCACCTCAAATTTAATTTTTCCTCCAATCCATCGCCAATAGTCGCTGATTTCTGTCTGACTTTAATTGATTGCTCTGTCGAGTTGCTTATTTTTGGTGTCGTTTTACATTTCGCCGCTTTCGTAAGTTAATTCCAACTGTCAAAAACAGCTGTGCTCGCTTTGTCAATTCATATGCACATATTTATAATACTTTTCAAACATTTGTATGTTTTGTTTTCTTGTTTTATTTGAAAGCATTGGAAGTCGAGTTGCCAATGTGTTCTTTTCATATGCCGATTTAGTGTTTAAGAGTTTTGAAATATTTGGAGATTACTTAATGTTCTGTTTTTATTTAAAGATATAGCGGCGGAGAGTTTTATATCGACTTTTACTTAATTTTGGTTACATATTTTAGCTTAACGTAGAATATTTATACTTTCTGAACAGGTCGTAAATTATATATACTTTTTTACAAAACTCAATTGCATAGAGTTTGAATTTTACATATTAGTTTTTATGCCGATTACAATCAAATTCGAACAAAGAATAAGAGACGCATTTATAACCCACCCTTTATTTAAGAGGAGCAGTCGAGAGCGTAATGTGAGAAACCTATAATTTATTATTGACGGACAGAGTTGACTTGTTATATCGCAGGTGAGCTTAAAAATAAACAGACCATTAATTTATTTGAGGCACACTAACAATTCGCTTTGGCTGTTGTTATCTTGTCTTATTAAATGTTTTTGGACATATTTTACCTTTTTTTCTCATTTTTTCTTGCAGTGCGCAATTTCCTATTTAATAAGCAGGCCAAAAATAGTTTTCCATTAAAAGTTTTTTTTTTTTTGTTCCTCAGACTTCCGACGCGCTTATGTCGAAGGTACGTTCATTCTATTTATTATAAATTCCTCACTTTTTATGTGTATTTGTTATAGTTTACCTATGTGATATAGTTTCCTTTTCATAAGGGGGTGTTTTAAGTGGCGGATCCCAAGCCCAACGCTCAACTTTAGCGCGCCTACGGTTATTCTTTAGCTACACAGATGATACTTGGTCTAAGTCCAGAAGTCTAAGCTGTT